TGCTGAAAAACCCCATAGTTGAGGGTTTATTCATTTGATCAGCGCAAAAAGGGTTGATCAAGAGAGAATCAACCGGTGGGTATATCAATTTGCAACGGAATACAAACCCTTCGTGGGTTGATCAATGGGTAGATCAAGTTGATAAACCGATTTTTTCGGTTATAAACCCTTTTTGAGGGTTTATTATTCTGCTGATTTTTTTTCAGTGTAGTCATTTAAAGTACAATATAGTCTCTCTAATATAGGCGCTAAGCAGAGTCCTCAAAAGTACTCACTCGAAGGAGTTGCGCACTATTAAGCGGTTTTGCTCAGAATCTTTTCGATCTCTGTTTTGAGTCAAGTACTATCACTGTGAATCATTTTTAAATTAGTGACTAAGAAATTCATTGAATAGGAGAATTAGTATTATTAATTCGCTGTTCTTCATAAATAGTATGGGGTGACATTCATCGAGTACGCTACAATCTATAATAAGCGTGGACCATGATGTGAAGGAATATGAAGAATAAAACAGCGATGTTCATATTAAAAGGACAGTTTTTCTATGAAATAACTAGTAATAATAATCTTTTAGAAAATGATCAATGGCCATAGAGAGTATGAAAAAGAAGATAGCAAAACTAGCCCAGGTCGAGTACATCCTATCGGATCCGATGGGAATATGCCTGAAACTGTCGGAATCCTCGGTACAGGATTCCGATCGGAAGTTGTCGCATGACGGGAAGTGCCAGATTTTCAGGGTTCCCGGAAGATCTTTATCATTTCCGATACTTTCCGACATCCGACAACTTCTGATCGGAATCCTGTACCAAAGATTTCGACATTTTCCGGGGTATTGCCATCGGATCCGACAAAATCCCATATTTTTGCCGGCTGGATCCGACAGGATCTGGATGTGGGATTGCTCGTCCTGACCATATCAGAAAATATTCACTTGCCAAAATTCAGGCAAAAAGATATTTTGTCAGAAAATAATTGACAGTCACAATTAGTCATTCTACTTTCAATCCTTCGGAGACAGGAATGGTATTATTTTGTAACAATAAGTGTCACGAAAGAAGAGGCATCACTGATTGCTATCATCACTTCTATTTTCCTGCACCGCATACAACTTTGGAAGCTATCGATTCATATGGCGATGAAACTTTACCTTTAACATTTCAATCAAAATACAATCACCCAAAACTTTATATTAAAGAAAAGCATTTCAAAACTGTTCTAACTTCAGTTTAAACTAAGCGTGGGAATATTATAAATACTCTAAAAAGTTTCTCACAGCGTGAGCCTAAAGTATTTCTACTTTTCCTTAAATCTTAAAGCAAAATAAAATACTTTAACTTTCACCCTTCAAGTTAAAGTGAAACATTAAACTTTAGCCGTTTCCTTAAAGTAAGATAAAAATACCACCCGTTAATTCATGCATTAGTTAAGAGAGTATATCATCAGTGTCTTACAGCTAACGAAAGAGAACTTCATAGAAATTCAAGTAAAAACTCCATGAAAAATATTATTATCACAATAGTAAACTTCACGGCACTCATACATATCCTTCAATTTTCTGTTCACACTTTTCCAGAAACTACTTTCTCCCAACCCTCTTCCATAGTTCGATGACATAAAAATATAACCGCTTCCCAAAATAGCGAGTACTCTAGTCAACAATTGAATAACAGCCATATTATTTCATAAATCGCACGGAACAATCGTTTTTTTTCATTTGGAAACAACCAATACTCATCAAAATTTCTACAGCATAATGTATTCTATTCGTTATGAAATCGAACGTATTTTTCAGAATTTTCAAAACAGAAGACAAAGCACTGACTCTTTGAAATTGATGCAATCAGTATCACAACAATATACCTGTACTTATTTCTGAAAAAACCTAATTCTTTTAATTTTTAACTTTAACTACAGAAATTTTCGAATTTAATTTTCAGAAAATTTTCGGAATGAGATTTGTATCCCAATAATTATTTTCATGCATTTTATCGAAGAGAAAAAAATCCACCAATGGAAAAACACATAGAACATGACTATCAGGTCAGAACAATTGTTGATTGTTCGAAAACAGACCAAAGAAAGGCATATATAGTTTTCTACTCGCATTATATAAAATAATTCAAGGAAAAGAATATTCTATCACTAATTTTATTTATTACGAATTTATTCCGATGAATTTTCAGGAAAATATCGTCTTTTGCATTGCTTAATTTCTATTGGTCCACAAGAATGAACCAATGAATGACAGAGAAGGTGTTGTATGTAGGTGATCTATTGGTAATTAGCATTGTTCTCGATGGTAGAATGTTGCAATTTGATCGATTAGACCTGAGATCGATCGTGCTAGTCAAAATCTCGCTAAAACCAATGTTTGTTTCATTGGAAAAATCTTTTGAATGAGGTGACACGCCGAAAACCCGATTTTTCATAGGTTGGGGCCGGTTTTTGGCATTTTTGGGTGGGAAGGGATTGTCTGACAAAAAAGTGTCGTTAGACAAAGTTGTAGAGCTCGTCGAGTTGCATCTGGAAAGCATGTTGGCAAAGTTGGAAAGCTTTCACAAGCGAATCCGGCCAGGAAATACTGAGTTTTGGGGATTTTGGGTGGTTTTTCGCATTTTTGGGTAGGAAGGAAGCATCTGACGAAAAAGTGTCGTTAGACAAAGTTGTAGATCTCGTGAAGCTGCATCTGGAAAGTATGTTGGCAAAGTTGGAAAGCTTTCACAAGCGAATCCGGCCAAGAAATACTCGAATCCGGAGCTAGGATATCCTACGTAAGGACGGACCAACATCAACTCGTTTTTTTCTGTAGTATCAGCCCGACGCATAACCCTCCTTTCAGTAGAGGGAATAATAAGCCTGTGTTGACAGCCGGTGGAAGGAGAGAAGCACTGATCGCTACTCCAACCAACGAACCAAAGTTGCCACCTAGAACAGATAGAGCTGCCGCAGCACCCTAAAAATAAGCATTCGTCATACTTTGTATTTTCCTAAGCGAGACTTACACTAGCTATAGCGACCAAAGCACCAAACCATAAACGGCGATAATCACCCCTAAAGATCATAGTTTATTATCATTTCATTAGAAAAGATCCAGTTTCACCTCGAGCGCATTTCATCAGTAGGAAATGAATCACTACCACCCCATTTAGTTTCGGACCAAGTACTGCATAATCCAAAAAGAAATCCCGTCAGAATGCCAGTCAAAATACCAAAACATTCAGACGTCAATCCAGCGAACCATAACTTCTTATCACGAGTGCGTATACCAATGACAAAACCCATTATAGGACCCTATCAAAAAGCAAGACAAGTGAATAAAGAATTTGAAGACGTTCGTACCATTAATGGCGAAAGTAATGCACTTCCCACTAAAACTCTATAACAAGTATTATTTATAAGAATTGAATAGAAATCAAACTTACACTGTGTTGTTTTCCAAAAGACCCAAGCATGCAAGTATCGAAGCCAAGATACAAAAGAAGAAATAATCAAATGTAAATGAACTTTGCCGTCGAATGATCCCAAGAATTTTATGTACAGTTAAACGAGCTCGGATGCTCTTCAGGAATGGATGAAATAGTCCGCGATTGGTTGATAAGGGTGTTTTAGGTAAGTTATTCTCATGGAATTGTTCATCCATGGCGCCTGCAGATGTACTATTCGGCAGCGTTTTTTGTTTTTCTACGATCTTTTGTATGCCCAGAGCGCAACTCAATGGGATGACAAAAACTTTTGATTCACCACGAATACCAATTTCTGCGCGACGTAATTCATCAAGAATGCCATCAGACTGAGGGCCTAATTCCGTATAACAAATGACCAAAAAGCTTTTGTTATTATCTGTAGGAATCCAAATAGTCTCCCGTAGTTTCAGTTTTGGAATGGTATGATAGCGTAACCGACTGGCTAAGGATTGTTCACACTCAGGACATGGATATTCTTCCGTGTGTTGTCCATTATTAGTAACGCTCCGATCGATATCATCCTTGTCAGCAGGTAGATCATTTGGAATGACAATAATACAGATTTCTTCACCAGACATTATTTCTATATGTAGAAGCAGAAAGCAGTCGCATATATCAAGAGAAAAAAATGTACTTGTTATTCTCTTCGTGTACTCTGTGTATGCCTGTTTTTTTTTCTTTCACACATCCGAGAGAACAGAAGGAAATAAATCGCAAATTCGAAGTACTGAATGATCGATTATACAACACTTACGTGAGCAGCTATTACCGTTTCGTTGTGAAGTGCCAAATTGAAGACCAAGTTCACTCTTAACTATAAGATTGAGAGAAAAAAAAGGAATCTGAGAGATGAAATCTATAAATATGGAATATATTTCTTCCTTCTCGTACGCGGCATCTTTTAGTCTTCCTGCACTACCATAAAAGAACAGGACGCAAAATAACTACAAGCAGAAAAAGGTGAGAAACCGTCATAATTTGCATCTATACGGTAATGCTGAGAAAAGTTTCGTTAATTAGGAATCAACAAAAATGGGAAGATCTATTGATTACTCACTGTGCAGACGGACAGGAATTTCAAGTCAATAAACAGTGGAATAATTAATATAGATTCTCACCATTTTACGGCTTACTTTAACGAATGAAAACTGACGTAGTGTGTAATTATAGTCTATGAATTAAGTCTTCAAGCTATTCTCAATATCACCGACCTCACTCGAACGAAGTCCATGGGTGTGATTGATTTTTGTACATATATCCTAGAGAATAAATGTCCATTCGTTTGCAAATATTCATTTTTCCGCATCGATTGTAAACCGATACGACGATCATTTACAATCAGAATCCGATTGTTATAGACTTAAAATCTGATGATTACTGAGAACAAATCTTTGATAATTCATAATCACACTTGCATTATTTTTGTATTTGAAAACATAATTGTTATGATGCGTACAATACTTCAAAGCCATATAAATCAACTGTATAGTTGCATCCTCACCCCTCATCCTCACGATTTCGATAAACAATATTTTGTATAGGCACTCAAGTGTGACGAGAAAGAAAAAACAAGCTTACGTGGCAAAAGTATGTTTATCGATGGATAAAGCCTTTGTTGCAGTTGTATAATACTCACATTTTTTGCTGTTTAGATTTTCATAAAATGACAATTCATTGTATGGAAGATCTATCAAATGAATTATTTTTTGACATTTTTGATTATCTTGATGGTTGCGATGTAATAAATGCATTTTTCTATCTGAATGTTCGATTTCGGCATCTTATTTTAACTTTGCCTTTGTTATTCAAAATCAAACTTTGCCCGGAAGAAAAATCAAACGTCAATGGAACTCGGAAACAAGTAATAGTACCTTACAAACACCGAATACTTTCACTCTATCTAGCGGATTCTTTAATCATCAATCGATTTTTCACAATCTATCCAATCAGTTCAGCGTTTGAACGACTTGAATCACTTAATCTTCAATTGATCAGAAAAGATCAACTTGTTTTACTTGAAACTTTATCTATTCTAACTCGTCTTTTTCGATTAATTATTCATTTTACAGACGATACAATGGATCTTAGCGATATTTATGGTTTCATTGGCAATTTACCTGTATTAGAGTATAACAAAATCTCTATACTATTTGCAAAATTTGTATCATTTTCATCCAATATTATTAAAAAACAATCCACTTCTATAAAACAATTAGTTATTGATTATAATTGCACAACCGAAGATTTATCTCATACACTTGCACATACTCCCCAACTCCACCGTTTATATCTCAAGAAAACATTGAATTCATCCCAGCATATAGTTTCATCACCAACTTTGTCCAATTTAACACATTTACATATCAATAAATGTGATATGCATTTTGATCAGTTCAAACTATTGATTGAAGAAATCTCCTCACAACTACAAGTATTGAAATTATTTACATTGGATCATTCATCATATCTGGATGCGAATCACTGGGAACAAATCATTTCTCATCATATGACGAAATTACAAAAATTCTATTTTCAACATCGTGAATCTTCTGATAATAATCATCAACCGAAACCACATCATCAATTAATTAATCAATTTACTTCTTCATTTTGGACTGATCGGCAGTGGATTTTTGATATTACAATTAATAATCTAGATTTTATCTATTCCATTCAACCATACAGGTATTTTAGAAGAAAATGATGTATTAAGTCGAGATTTCTTCATTTTTTTAAGGAAACAATGGTTTGAATCCGATCAATTCAACAATCAGACTGAGATACAACGTACAGAAATAAATTCATCAATTCAATTCGATAAAAATGTCCAACTCACTATTACACATCGTTTTACACACGCATGTCTTAGATTATTAACCAATAAGATTAATTCAATTTCAACTATAGTCAAAATAACTTGTCTTGATATTGACTGTAGTAAGATCATCAGAAGTACTTTGATCAGTCTCATCGATCTATTGCCTCATCTTAACTCCTTAAAAATTTCATATTTACCTTCACCGGAAAGACAAAGTATCGTTATTATGCAAGAAAACAAAAAAATTATTAAAGTTAATCTTGAACAAATGTTTGATATAGAACAAATTCAATTTCTCATCCAATTATGTTCATGTATACAATATTTGATTATCAATTGTACTAGTGATACCGATCTTATATCATACATTCGATCAATTCTCAAGTCTTTCAAATATCTTCTTCAATTAACTCTAAAAATGCCATCGGTTTCTAATACAATAGTAGCCAGAATACAAACATTGATCAATAACGAATATCCTCATCAGTATTCCACGGAGTGTCAAAACAATCAAATGATTTTAAGAAGAAATAGATAGATGTCTTCGGCACTGTCTACGTTCGCTTCCATGTTGCAGAAATATCGTACTTGGTCAATCCTACGTAAACGTTTACATCTAATATATAATCAAAAAATGATTTTTCTTGAAATATAAATTATTGATGGGTGTGTTCGATAGTCTATAATTTTCAATAATATATTTTGACTGATTTGAGTATCACAAAATTATGATCACACATTTCATTTTTTTTTCCCATTGCCTATTACATGTATGTTAACATGAAAAAGAATGTAAAATGCGTAGAATCACTTCTTTTCGCGTTCATTTTTAATTATAACACATAATAAGGTAAGTAATATACTTTCAGTAACAAAATTTTTTGAAAACAATCACAGATAGCTGAAAATATTATTTATCATTTCGTGCATCACTGATTTACGTAAACACAATTTTGTTTTGGTATATATATACATTGATAAAAACTAAACCGTCTTAGTTTGCATTGATATATAAACATGATGAATACTTGCAGCATTTTTTACAGCTTTATTTTGATAGTCATTGTGACTAACAACTGCATGGCAAGATATATGTTATCGAACGAAGATTTGTTTAGCATCCGAGATTCGCAATCTGATCCAACCAAAAAGCGACCTACGTGTCCCCCCTGGTTTTCAACTAAATTCTGTTAGTCGTGATACAAACAGTATTGTTAGTTATAATGCTTTTAGTAATCATCTCTATGATACTTATTGTACTTGTAATCTTGCTGCTAAGGGTGGTAAAGGTCCTTATAAATGCCAACGTGGTACTGATCAGAAATGTCCTGATGATAAAGATGGCCGTGTTATTGTTACGCATGGGCTTTATATTCTTCTTTGTCAACCACAAAGCAAATAAGACTGATTACAGTTATTCATTTATTCATCATTTTCATTTCAATAAACTTCACTAAACAAGTTTGAATAGTTTATAATTCATAGAAATAAATACTTCGGACTTTGTCTTAGTGATTGAGGAGTCTGAGGGTGATTATCGCTCTTTATGCACATCCACCCTCAAGGAAAATGTTTGTTAATACTTTGTTATGAAATGGTAATTTGTGATTTATTTTTTATTCTTAAGAAAATAAAAATTGACTTCGATAATCACTATTTATGGAAATTTTCTTTTCCGTTTACCAATTAAACAGGACATCTTTTGAGAATGAAGAAAAGATATTCACGCCCTCTTCTACAACATTATTCGTTATACTTAACTAAATATCATTAGATTTTATCACTGCTTGATTAGTGGGTTTCTAATCAACTGTTTCTTTTTCTCCTTGGAAATATTTCGTTAATTTAATTGAAAATTTGTAAAACAACAGACGACACCTGCTAAATTCGACTGGCATCGGCAAGGAGCTATACCGGAACCGACTCAGATTTAAACGAATCCGGCCGCCGAAATGAACGACCTAGGACTCTGCTCTGTTCACATGAAATTGATTGAAGAAACCTTAATAAACTTAATTAATAAAATATTGTTACGATGCGTTAGAAATTTCCAACTTGTCTATGCTCGATAAATATGAGTAAGGAAAAAAACCCAACATGATCATCGTATTAGTAAATAAAGAAAAGTTATTGTAGAACGAGAGAAAAAAATATTTCACCGATTCAAGAGGTTTTGCCTCTTTCATTCTGCTCGTAAAAGAAAAAACATATAAAAGGAAGTGCATTGTAATTTTATTCTCTTTCGTGTCACAGAATGCTGCATTTTTCTTCTCTACTAACATATTCATTATTATTTTTACATTTAGGTCGTACAAAATTATCTTCAATGGCTTCATTAATTCAATTAGATGAATTATCGACAACACAAACTGAGCGTTGTACAGATTGTGACAGCGATAAGAAGATAGAATCAAAACAAGATTCTCAAGTGCAACGGCAACGATCAATGAAACGTTGTATTGAATCATTATCACATGCTGTGCAGTGTAAACAGACTAATTGCATAAATCGGTCTTGTTTTCGTTATAAACGTGTTATACAACATACGAAACATTGTAAAGGAAAGAATAGTCAATGTAATGTATGTAAACAAATGATATTTCTTTGTTGGTATCATGCCAAACATTGTATGAAAGGAAATTGTCAGGTACCATTTTGTACAAGTTTAAAAATTAAAATACAAAAACAACGAGAAATGCATTCACAAAAAGATAAATCGTCTATGGAAGCGATGATACCATTAGAATCTGATGAAGATGATGACATGAAATAATTGTTGTATATTAATTTGATTCTTTTTAATATAAACTCACTTTCATAATAAATCTAAAGTGCATTTTATTATTCATGATGATGATAATGGAAACGATCGCTTTAATCATTTGATATTTTACTCGTAAACTTTTCACTCATTAGAGGGTGTGGGTATATTTTATACACCCATGTCCGCATTCTAATTGAAAATCTGCAGATGTTCTTTTTTCTCCAGAAATAAGAGTCCAATCAAACAAAACTATAAGAGAATATTTCATATTCCGTGATGTTACACATTCCGAGAATTCTATCTGATGACTCTTTCAGCTAATTCCGAAATTTGTAACATCGCAAATTGGGTTAGGATGGTTGGATTTTCAATTCAAACATTCGAATTCATTAGATAACCCAATAATTTAAAAAATTATAAAGATGCGAAGAAATTAATCAAAACTTCTGAGTTATTTGATGCAATGTGCCAAAGTGAACCATTAAAATATGAATGAAGAAAAAATGGGTTTAGAAAATAAATTAATGATTGTGTTGTTTGTTAATCAAAATATTGCTGCGAGTATTATATCAATTACTATTTTAGAAAATACAAATATTCTAGCAATTGCTATTGTTCAAAGAGTAATAGATATATTTAACCCGATTGTACCCGGGCTTGTATATCAGCTTGTACGCGTAACGTGTCACTTCACTGGCGTGAGTTCGAAGTCAAAACTGTCACGAATCATTATTACCATGTTGTAGAGCATAGTCGAAAACATAAGGAAACTCATTTACTAATGTAATTTTTTGCAGAAAATCGTGAATAGTAAGTGGAGACAAACATGTGACTAACAGAATGGGACAGAAGTGCATTTATAGTCTGCTGATCATTCGTATCCGTACGTTGTATCAGCTTGATGTATCCCAAGTTACTCATGATCAGGTAACACTACTCTAATAGACGTATCTTTACGTCAACCAATTAATTCCCTATACCTTGTTATCTGCCTTACCAGAAAAAACTTCTATTGAAAAATTAGTTGCCATTCGAACAATGCAGCGTAACGCGATGACGAATTTTGACGTTTTTATTCGTGACATTCAGTTATTCCAGTCATATCTTTCAATAAGAGCAAGGAGTGTGTCTGATATTTTCACAATAAACTACTCTCATTAGGATCTCTATCTGTACAAAATTTCAAATCGAAACTCGAAGATCATTTTTTCAGATATCCCTGAGGGGGACCACGGCGATGAGCTATCCCAACCTGTTCAAACACAGTATCTCAGCAAAAAGAGAACTTACGAATGAACTTTTTTAAGCCGTTCTCCTATACTGCGAGTTCTACCGGCTTACCCGAACATCGCCAATAAGACTTTTGCCAGTTGGCGAATGTCTACTTTATTTTCGACAAAATGAATTATGAAAACGGAAATGGTTATCGATTTTGTTGAGAATAAATAGCAATAAGGTGCAGCCTGATACTCTAATTCCGCACATGCAACCGATATACTACATTCCTCTATGATAGTTCTAAAGACATCACTATACTTTCACTAATACACTCTCATGACTCTCGTCAACTGGCGAATCTCCAGTATACTTTCGCCAATTGGCGAAATTCGGGAATCCCGTTCTACCTACAGGCAAATTATTGGCTCAAATAGACGATGTTTATTGGAAGAATTTCCTCAATCTATGACTCCAGTGCATCAGCTTAAGGCTCTCAAGTTTTCGTTTGCTGAATTTATAATCCCGAATTCAATAGTACTTTAACTATTCGTTTATTGTGTCAATAGAAAAGTAGTGATATTGCTTTCATTAAATTATGCATACAGTAAAAGAAAACATAAACACAAACTCACGCCAAAAATCAAGCGTCATCGCGTTACCTTTGTTTAAACTGCGCCTTTTCAAATAGAGACATTTTTAGGGACTGTAGTATCACTCGTTAGTTACATTAGGTTGTTAGCTATAAACTTCCTGTTGAACGTTTTCTTCCGTCACATATGCATTCGCAGAAAAATAAGAAACAAACAGGTCACTCTCACTTCTATGGTCCTTTTTGCGTCATCGCGTTACGGCCTTTATTATTATTCTCACCACCAAACGGTTCGCTCAAATAAGTTGATATTTTGAGAGGACGTAAAGGTGATCGAGATATAAGTTTTTGTAAAGAAACGAATGAACTGCTAGATGTTACTTGTAGAGAAAATGAAACGCAATGTGGCCAAAACGTCATCGCGTTATGCGCGTTATGCGCGTACAAGCTGATATATCCCACCTAACAAAAGGTACATTTCTGGAAGTAATTCGAAATTATTTCAGGTTTCCACGATCTATAAGGAATATTTTCTTCCTTTTTTCGTAGTTAGGATCAGGGGTAAATACCTGACAAACTTTTTCATTTTGATTGTTTCTTCTAGCGCTCTGCTATGAACTCACATACTGATAGATAAACACGATTTTTGTTGTAGCTTAATCGACGGTCTCTAACTACCATCTGGTAAATTAGCACAGTTCCATCAAAAATAAGTCTCATAAAAAAGTCGGGACCCAAAGGGTTAAATAGAAGTTTTAGTGCTGTTTCTTATGTATTTGAGTGGTCATTGAATTACACAACGTTATCTGCTTCCAAAAAAACAAATCCTTTTGCTGTCACATTTACTAACAAATTACATTCTGCATGTCTCTGTCTCTGTACACTAGGTGACTCAAGAGTTCTTCATATCAAATCAGAAACTTTTAGATTTTCTGGATAGATGTAGTTACATTTAAACTTTTGGGGAACAAGCTTTATTCAACAAGGTTTCCGTAAAAACAAAGAGTAAGGTACCGTGTAAGAAAATCAATGATATACAATGAAAAGTATCGGCCTCATATTTGCTTATTTGAAATTAGTTACGAAGAAATTTTAGTAGCAGGCGAGACCGCGGGACGAGACGGAAAAATCGTCGTCCCGCCGGTCTCAGATATGAATCTAAATGGTTTTCTTTGAGTGAATGTTGTTTTTATCGTGATGAACTTTGATATACGAGAATCAAAATGAAATTTTATTTTATTCTGAAAACTATTGCTTCGAAAGAACCAGTTTTATTCGAAAACTACTTTTTACATCAAAAGAAGCAATGGAAAACACTGTTTCATTCTCGAAAATACTCCACCAAATTGACTTCAAGGCTGCACTATCTGTTTGAAAGAAATTGAATCGCGTACCTCATGAACGTACCTCATTTAGAGCTAAGTTGTACCCCACGCGCACCCCGTTCGAGGCTTAAGCACTTGGTAAACCTGGTGGAACTCGATTACCTCTTCGTGAACCGTTATAAACAAGAATCTCTTAGTTTTATTTATTCTTTTTTTGACCAATCAATGAAGTGCGTAGACACAAGCATGCAAGGAAGCAGACTACTTTTCTTTGTAACGCTCTTCTCTTCGAGAAAGAGAGTATACATATATATGATACGCGATACGAGTATACGAAGCGACGCCAAAGCACGTTTTGTATATAGAGCTTTTTCAAGTGCTCATGAGCTAACTCAGTAGTTAGTATAAATGTTTCAACAATGTTCATTAAATCAAAGTTCTCCGCCAAAAACTATTCAATTCATCGTAAAGTTTTAATAATGAAACAAAATCCCAACGTTCTTTGTATTATAATTTGTCGTAACTAAATCAACGTTGCCATCGAGGTTTACATCACTAACCACCACACACTGGGGATTATTCCCAACTGCATAGCTAATTGCCGAAGAGAAGGTGCCGCTGTCTAGACTGAAAAGGACACTAACTGTGTTTCCACCAGAGTTTGCGACAATTACGTCAGTCCTGTTATCAAGGTTTACATCAGCGACTGCTACTGAATATGGCTGAGTGCCAGTTGCGTAGGTAGTTTGAGAAGAAAATGAGCCGTTGCCTAGATTGAGAAGAACACTAAGTGTGTTTCCACCAAAGTTTGCGACAATTATGTCAAGATTGGTATCAAGGTTCACATCACCGACTGCTACTGACTTTGGCTTAGAGCCAGTTGCGTAGGCAGTTTGATTAGAAAATGTGCCGTTGCCTAGATTGAGAAGAACACTAACTGTGTTGTTACCATAGTTTGCGACAATTATGTCAAGCTTGGTATCAAGGTTCACATCACCGACTGCTACTGAATATGGACCAGAGCCAGTTGAGTAGGTAGTTTGATTAGAAAATGTGCCGTTGCCTAGATTGAGAAGAACACTAACTGTGTTGTTACCAGAGTTTGCGACAATTATGTCAAGATTGCTATCAAGATTTACATCAGCGACTGCTGCTGAATATGGACCAGAGCCAGTTGCGTAGGCAGTTTGATTAGAAAATGTGCCGTTGCCTAGATTGAGAAGGACACTAACTGTGTTTCCAACATAGTTTGCGGTAATTATGTCAAGATTGCTATCATGGTTTAGATCACCGACTGCTACTGAATATGGATAAGTACCAGTTGCGTAGCTTTGCAAATTTGGGTACAGGTTGGGGAATACTATGATATAGAAAATGATAGGAACGGCATTCTAAAACATTCGTGTTTTATTGACACCTATGAAAGTGGTTATGTGGTTGAGGAAAAGTCTTCTAACACAGTGGCGGTGGGGGAAATGCGTTAAAAGTTTTGCGAAATCATTGAAGGGTCATTTTCTATATCAGGTGGAAGAGCTGTAGGGTACAGAGTTTTTCTTCTAGTTTAGCATATGAAAAATATGTTTGGTACGAAAGAACGAAAATTGTAGGGTTTTGGATCAAACGTGAGAAGAAGGTCACAGTTTAGTACGAGGGCATTTATATGATTTTCTCGTGGAAGTGGAAAGGTTGTTCCTACCAATAGACGGGAAAATCTTTGAGTGGTTTTATGGTAGCCTTTATTGTGTTTCTAAAAGCGTAAACATGTTTGGATGCATTTTCGTACTAACAGGGGCTTTTTGTGGGGTTCAAAAAAGCATGAATGTTTTTTAGAATGAGGTGGGAATAGATCAAGGGTGCATATGTGTCATGGTAGTGTACAACGTTTGAAGTTTCTCATTGAATTACGAAACAAGCTTGTCAAGAGGATGTTTACATAGAATTGATTTTGGTTCTATGCTCGGTTGTATGATCGAGGCTAGGTTTGGTTTTTTCTCGGACTTCTACTATGGTCGCTCTTCAGTTTGTAGGGGATGAGAAAGATCCTAGAAAACACGGTAGAGTGTTGCTTCTAATTTGTCTTTAGTACTAGGTGTCGGCGTCAATATGTTGGTTTCTTTGCTGAGAGGGTGCAGTCGATAGTGTTCTACCATTACGCTCTAACAGAATTGGTGTTTTGCCGAACCTAAAAGGCTTTGCATTCTTTTGCGGCACTTTTCAAGAAAAATCATCTGCAGATTTCATGTGTTGTGCGAAATCATGTAGTGTCGTAAGACAGGCCGTTGTGTACGGAAGCATGAATGGTTTCGTCAACTCTTTCATGGTTCAGAATGTTTTATACTAAACTACTCATGTTTGGGTACAAATGATGAAGACTTGATGCGAGTTACGCGAAAGCAATAATTGGCTTATAGATGCTCAAGAGTACAGTGGAATTTCTCCGGAGCCTTTCAAAGTATCGTAGGCCAGTTGAAGACTTAACAAGGTTGATACAAAACAATCGATAGTTTTGTAAAGCTTACAAAAATCTGTTGAGAGTTCGAAATATTCATCCGGAGTTTAGTATATTTACTGCTTAGCTGTTGATGTTTTTGCACATCTTCTACTAAACGAACAGTAGGTGGATGAAATTTTTTTTAATGATTGGAATCGATAGAGGTCGTCGAGTTGTATCTCGAACAAGTGTTGGAAGAGTAGTTGGATGTGAAGAAACGAATCCGTGCTTGTTTTTTCGAAATCTTCATGTTTCTTTAGGCTTTTTTGCGGTTTTCTGCATTTTTTATTGGGAAGGAAGGATATTTCCGGGAAATTTGTTTTTTGAATAGATAGAGCTCATCGAGTTCTACTTGGAACGAATGTGATCAGAGTTGAAATACACTCGTGTGCGAATTCGTTCCAGAAAAGGTCGAATTCGTGTCCAAGATATCCTACATAGAATTGTAGAAGAATAAAGGAATCGATCAAAGTAACGACACCATAATTATGATTGATTTTAGACTGCTACAGATCGTTGTAGGAAAGCGAAAAAAAGTTACCCTAATATAAGCCCACCCTCAGACTTATACTTTTCTGGGTACATTAGAAGCTCATTGGGCTTCTATTCCTGGAAAGAGTTTACGTAAGTTCGACACACATGTACACTAGCAACTCTGTGAATTTTCTAGTTTCTATCAGTAACGCTCTGATTTAGTCTATGATATGTTAGTTACTGACATTAAGAATAAACGAAGATTCATTTCAAGACAATTTCACCAATAATTCAAGTAAACTAAGACTGACTTATATCGAACTCTATTCTAGCTTTTCTTGCTCAATATTCATATGGATGCTTTACAAATGCGCATGCAGTAAGATTCATTTTTTATTGTAAATAATTATTTCACACAGTTAATAGTATCTGAAGCTACAAAATAAATACTGCTACGGAGTAGGAATCGGATTGAGCTAAAAACGTAGAATATTTCCTATTAATCTTCCTGAATAAGGTGTCTTGACGTATAAGTATTTTTACAGCTATATAACAACAGTTGCTGACACGATTTTCAGAATCGAACATTTTTCGTCCTGATATTTTCTTCGGAAAACACGAGCTAAAATACACAAGCTACCAAGATTCTGCTACAGTTGCTTAAACACCAAGTTCAAATATGTGAGAAGCTTGGCATGTGTATGTGAAAATTTATTTAATGAACTTTGAGGGTCTGATTCTGTGCTAGAACTGTCAGTGAACTCTGAGAGCTAAGAGTTTAATGCGCCTGAAAATTTATCAGTTAGAAACTTTAAAAAAGATCATATTTCTTTATTAATAAATTCATAAAAATCAATCAAAAAATGAGTGAAATGCGCGTTTTGATGATTTTAGAAAGCTTTGAAAAATAGAAACCGACCGGTTGGCCTGAAAGCCTAGAGCTGACCTGACTCACCAGTCTGGTTCCGTGTATGATCGCTTTGAAATTTATTCGATATACCTATGGTTTCCTTAATGTAATGAGTTACAAGCGACAATCAACGAACAAAGTCCGATGATTTTCTCGTAGAACACCTGTTAAAAACGTTCTGAGTCTGCGAAGAATCTTTCTTCAGAAATCTTTTCGATCTTCTGGAACATTCATATAAATAATCGAATTCATAGTGTAAATTGGAAAAGCCTTTTTTATTGGGCTAATCTGTAAATGGCTCTTTCTTTTAGTAGAAGATGTTTTGGAATTAATATGGTGGCATTTTTTCAGTGTATAGTGAGTAGTAATAACGCAATTTCATACATACCAAAAGCTGTGGTTGATGTTGATGTTGACGTTGACGTTGATGCGGTTGACGTCGATGTCGATGAGGTTGAAGTTGATGTTGTCGATGTTGACGTTGACGTCGATGTCGTTGAGGTTGAAGTTGACGTTGACGTTGTTGACGTTGACGTTGATGATGTTGAGGTTGATCTTGATGTTGATGAGGATGAGGTTGATGTTGTTGACGTTGACGATGATGATGTTGAGGTTGATCTTGATGTTGATGATGATGATGTTGACGTTGATGTTGTTGACGTTGACGTTGATGATGTTGAGGTTGATGATGTTGAGGTTGATCTTGATGTTGATGAGGATGAGGATGATGTTGACGTTGATGTTGTTGACCTTGACGATGTTGAGCTTGATGTTGATGAAGTTGTGCTTTCAGTTGTTGATGGCATGCTTGCTGACGATGAGCTTGAGATGAAGGCTGATGTTGATGAAGTTGTGCTTGCAGTTGTTGCCATTGACGATGTTGAGCTTGATGTTGATGAGGTTGTGCTTTCAGTTGTTGATGGCGTGGTTGGTGATGTTGCTGGAGTTGATGATGGCAGGCCTGTTGACGGTGAGCCTGAGATGGCGGTTGATGTTGATGATATTGGTGTTGTTGGGGTTGCTGGGGTTGATGATGGCAGGCCTGTTGACGGTGAGCCTGAGATGGCGGTTGATGTTGATGATATTGGTGTTGTTGGAGTTGCTGGTGTTGATGGTGGCAGGGTTGCTAACGATGAGCTTACGATGGAGGCTGATATTGATGTCATGGATGGTTCTTTTTTGTAAAAATAAATTATCAAATGAGAGATATCTAATGGTGATCTATGCTTAGAACGTCCTCACTATAGGTACCAAAGATACTTCCAACTCGTAATGATCAATTAACTATCGTCCAAAGACTCGCTCAGGTCTTTCTCGTAGAAATAGTGAATCCCCATGCTACCGAGCTTTATATTGACACAAATTCTACAGCATAACCTCATATTCGTGCTGCTTGCCTACTTTTACTCTTTCATCAAGCTTGATACGTAAAAATTCGTTAAATACAGAAGGAACTACTGCAAAAGTTGTAACGGAAGAAATAACTTTTGCAGTGAGTGTGAGAATGGATGAGGATGCAGAATAAGAGAGCTGCACAAATACAAGTACAATTTATACTATACCTTTTGCATAATTTATGTAGTATCACGCATTCACCGTACTTCGGACCTATATTCTAGAATTGGTTAGATTGTACTGTTACGTACTATAGTATATTGGCTTTACGCTCGATGGATACCCGTGTAATGTGAGGGTGTTCGTATCGATCCCACTGAATTTCATACCTGTGACGATTTCTGATACAACAGATGAGATGTGATAAGAATAACTTTTATTTCAGCCAAAGAAATCGCGCCTATACTGTACTTTTCTCATCTTTATATAGTCCTCGGTACATATTACAGTATCACACCACACAAAAATACAAAAGTCTCCAAAGGAATATCTACAATCTATGGCAATCACTCGGCGAGGTAGTGGCTCAAAAACATCATGCAATTATAACCTCTTCTAGAGAGAACGCAAAAGCATATCATGCATGGGAGTGGCTTTCTAATATCGATATCATATGAATATCCCACTCGGGAACGATTATTGGCTCCATGTCAATATTCTCAAGAAGTTATAGGTTGAGCTGAGACAGATGTAGTAACTTTATTATATCACTGTAAAGAAGGTGTGCTATCGAACCCATCACAAAGGTTTCGTACGTGCCCAAAAGCTTACAAATGCGTCGACATGTGGAAAGAACTAGTTTTCAAAAGCTCTAAAACCAAAAAAGGATCGGTCGGCGGGCACACATTCCGAACCATCGTCTACGAAACCTTTTTGATGGGTTCGGTAGCTTACCTTCTGTTTTTTTACAGTGAATTGCCTCAATTCAATATTTACATATTAATATGTTGCGACTATAGGTAATTCCTTTGTTGTGAATTAGTTTCAATGGAGATCTGCTCATTGAATAGTGTTGATGTAGTAGGATTTACTATTTTCATTATGATGCTTTTTGTGCTTAAGAACTGTGGTAATCTTGTAAATGTGAACTACTGCGATAAAATTAAGATCTACATAGGTCATCACTTGCACTTCACAAAAAGCTCTTTCCACTAACTTTTTTTATATGTTACATTCATACTTACCAGACGGTGTTCGTGTGCCAGAAATGACCGCCATAGTAACAATGCCTATAGCTGCTTCCAAAGTATTGCCTTGATTCACGTCGTTAGTAAACAATTGACAACTAGAAGTTGACTGACGATAACTAGCAACTTTGCATTGAGCTTGCTGTAAACAAGTCGTTTGACACTGAAGAATATCGGATACAGCAATTGTAACATAGGGTAAACAAGTTGTTGTAGCACATTGAAATTGCGTTCCATCCATACTGTCCATCATAAATGATCTTATACTTTGTGCAACTGTTTGATCCAAGATAAGAATGAGAAATATTAGTGATATTCTTATCCAAATCATATTTAATTAGACTTCCACCAGTTTGATAAGATGAACAGAATACAGCTCAAAATGAGAAAAAGTTTCTACTAATGATGAAAATTCTTTCATTTCTTTCTCTCTTTCCCCTTCCCTCTTACTTAACATGTCATGATGTTTTCACTTGATTAACCTACTGAGAAAACTAAAGTCATGCTTTTTCTTTCTCTTGGCATTAATAGATCGAATGTCCTTTTAAAGTTTGCCTTAGTTCTCTTAAAATCTTCTGAAAAAACCTAACTATGAAATAATACGACCTATTTTTCTCGATTAATTTGCATAGTGATGAACGAAGTTGCATGACTTGCGAACGCCTGTTACATAAACGAAAAGAGAGTGTAACAATAGAAACATACTGTATATTGAGAATATTGAATTGAACACAGAAAGAAGTCCATAATTTTTCAGATTTTCAACAGAAAACCCTTTCTTTTGAAAGAAGATCATTTTTTCGTCCAACTGAAATGATTAACTTATGAGACGATTTACCGTTGCTTGCATCGAGACAATTATATCAAGTAAAGACAACTGTTTAGTAATCAATATCTTGTTATATTGATTTTTTAATTTCCTTTCGTCAACTCTGTGTCCTCATATTTCTGCAACGATAAAACAAGAAATTTGATAATTATCAATTTTCTCTTAATCTTCTTTGTATTCTGCAAAAGTTTTGACCTACTCTCTCATGACAATGATGAACAATTATATCTGCAATTATCATATTAAAATGTGTCTATTGAAGTCCTAATAATGATAAGTTTCAGTAAATAACAGACATAATATAAAACTGAGAAAAAAATGATTGGGGCAATTGACAGTGTCAGTTTATTAAAATACTCCGGTCAACCCATGAGATGCCTAATTCGACTTATATTATAAGTCGACCCCCGACAGGCTAGTATCAATTCGAATATAAATAGATATCTATATAACCCTTATAACAAATGACTAGATAGGAA